ATATAATACAATTGTATTATATATCTCTGGTTACATCTGAGACTACTATAATGTGTTATAGTAGTCTCAGGTTACATATAAAAAAATACAAACATTGATAAGCTCTCTAAAGCTTTTTACGGAAAAGTGTTGTAATAGTCAGCTGTTTGCATATCGGATGTAATCCGATTTGATTTAAATATTAGTATTGTGCTTTCCTGTTTCCACAAACCATTCCGTAGACAGTCCTACCAGAGACATATAATACAATGTCTCTGGTCCTACTAAGATGCAACGATCGAATATATGTGAAGTCAGATTTTAGTCTACTTATTTTATCATCGATACTCATTAGCTTAAAAAAAATTGATTTCATTTTACTCAATTTTAGCATGTAACGTGAGGGTACCCAAATTGCACCTATGTTGACAGTTTTTTCGGCTACGAGCCTACGTTTTTTTCAAATACTTTTATTTATGATCCAGACAAAAGTTTCAATTCTGTGTTTATTTTGTAGATGTATCCTTATTTTACTATATAGTTACACCAATTTAATTTTGAATCCATATTGAATCATAGAAAAATGGGTTTGAACCGACCTCCAAACGATCCATGATTCTGTAATGAGGAAGGTATCGGGTCCGTTCGCCCTCAGTCAGTTCGCCCATAGAGTCCGTTCGCCCTGGGTCCTTTCGCCCTAATTTTTATAAAAAAAATAATATTAATGCTTTAATTTAAAGTTTTGTAATCTTATTCAGATATTTAAATGGTAAATATTAAAAATGTATATCTCCAAATTAATGAATAAACATTGAAATTAAAGAAAAAAGTTTTTTTTTGGAGCATTAATCAGGCTAATTGACTTCATTGTTACATTTGTTTTTATTCAGAATTACTTTTAAAGACTGTTGATTGTAAATAAACTCATCATAGATACCAAGATTAAAATTTTGTACGCCAGACACACGTATGTTTCATCTACAAAAGACTCATCAGTGACTCTCGAATCAAAAAAGTAATAAGGCCAAAAAAAAATAAAAAATTCAAAGTTTTGTAATTAAGAATGCTGATTAGATATGATTACGATGTCTTTGATATCACTGATTGTTGTAGTTATTGTTTTGGATGAATAATGAAATTGTTTTTTTTTAAATAAACAAGTCAGCTTGGAATGAGTTAAAACAATGATGTAAGAATTGTAAGACATGAAAGGGAAATTGTTTTCCCAGCTTGGCTTCTTTGATCTCAAGGTGTTGAGTGAGTTGGATCTTGTTATACCTGTTTGGATTGTTTTGTAATTGTTACAAGGTTTCAAAAAAGATAAATTCATACAGATAACTTGGTCTCCAGTTCTTGAACACTTCTTCTTCAAAATACTGTCCACATTCAACATGATGAATATTCTGGCAAGAATATTCAATGCAAATCAAAAGAAAAATAATTATCTGGTGGCATCAATACAACATAAATATTTTCCAAATTTTCAACAAACTTTAAGATAATTAATTCAAATAATTTACATTATACAAGACAACAAAATAAAATAGAAATCAGGGCGAACAAACTCAGTGCGAACAGGAATTAGGGCAAACGGACCCAGGGCGAACAGGTATTAGGGCGAACAGGTACTAGGGCGAACGCGAATCAGGGCAAACGGACCCGGATTCAATGAGGAGTACCCCTGGAGGGGTTACTTCCTATATTTTTAGTGGTACGAGTGTGTCGCAAAACATTGTCGCTTTTTCATGCCTTGCTGGTTAGAACAGGGTCCCTTTTCATGTCCTGCTGGTGAAAACGAAGTATTTGTCTAGAACAGGATTGCTTATTTAACTGTTTCAGATACAGTCTAGAACCCGGGTCTAGAACAGCATCTATTTTACATTTTCTTGAGTGTGTCTAGAACAGGGTATGTTTTTCAATATTTCTGTTTAGAATAGGGTATATTTTTCAATGTTTTCTGGTTAGAATAGGGTATGATTTGGCAAGTGCTATCGGCACAGTTATACCCAAAAGGATAGTCAGTAACCCCCCGGGGGAGTACCCAAATTGCCTCCATGTTTAAATTCACATCCTTAAAAATTGAATAACAGATGTTTTGTTTTATGTCTTCAAATATTTTGAACAATTTGACATTATTCCATGCTTACTATTAATTTTTTAAGAAATGGATGCTTGTAACATGTTTAATTTTCTCATTTTTAAAGATGACATTTTGAGAACGTCGCGACGTTTCAGTAGATTTACTTTTTCCAGGGAATGCTTCATCTGTTGATATATACTGTGAAAGTTTTGTGTATATTTAAATATATTTACCTATGTTGAAAGACGTGTATAATGTCAAATCATATAAATACCAATTGTTTAGTCTCAAAGAAAACTTGTAAGATTTCCACAGCTATTTTGTTGAATAGGTGCAATTTGGGTACTTGTATTTGCAAAAATCCAAAACACATAATTTATATAAGGAGTGTCAAGCTTTCAAAGTATAAAAACATGAATGTTTTCCCTTGTCTACCATATCCAGAAAACCACATGAAATGTTCAAAGGAGCGTAAACAAGTGGAATATAAAAATGCTATCCCATGTGCAGTACTATGTTGTGAAATATTTCACTGTCATTAGTTAATTACCATATTACACTTAAATTTACATAAATAACTATAATGACTCTCTGCTGAAATCATATTTATAACTGTCCAGCAAATGAAAAATATATATATATTATTATACGCTTAACTTCACAGAAATGATGTCAAAGCAAATTGTGTAGTCGGGTATGACAGGTTTTAGGGGAGGGAAGGAAGGATACAAAAGGCACATATTTTCATGTCATTAGGTCTTGTACGTCTCATAATTAATCAACCTAGATAAAAAATAGTATGAAATTAAAGCATCACCAATATCCAGCATATTTTTTTTTCCAATATTGGCCAGGTAACAACTAATATTGGACTGGTGAATTAGTGTTAAACACCTCTAAGGGCATAAGCCTGGTGGGGTATTTTTTTAATTACAATAAGTTTGGTGCAAAATGATAGCTTTAGGTAGTTGAGGCAGCCTTGCGGATTATTAAGGAATTGACCTTAATATTTTAGGACAATCATGATAAATGAAGGATATCCAATTACAGTTATTGACATCATGGTGTAAGTAAAGGTATAATTGGGTAATGGTTTTATTAATGGCCTATGAATTGGTCCTTGGCCAATATCTATGCCAATAATATGAAAAACTTTGAGCAATTATACAGTGTACTATGAAATAAAGAAAATAATAAATGTATATTAATATGGTACATGTATACTACAGTGGTACATACATTGTATCATATCTTCTGGTACATGTATGCTACAGTGGTACATACATTGTATCATATCTTCTTTATAACATCTGCCTCAAATTATGTTAAATAAAAGGTATCAGTTCTAGAAAGTTTTATGTTGTATATCTGAGTATGCTGAGTTTGTATATTCTGGACTATTTGGTCATCCATTATTGATATGATTGTAGCTTGTATCAGCCTCTTTTTTGTACATGCAATTGACAGTATAAAGAAGTAATGATTTGCAGCTCTGTGTTTTTTATTTCTATTATATTTATACATTACTTCTAGTCCCCAAATTAAGACAGGTATATTACATTTACACCACAAGCAGAAGTTGGAAAAATTTGAATAGTGTTTTGGAAATTTCTTACTTGTAAAAAACAAATTTACAATTTACAATTTAAACTAGAATAGATTTTTTTTTCAGCAAGTCATTCTTGTTTGTTCTAGAATTCTATAATTTCACATTTGTAAAAATTTATTGTAAACCAGGCTGCACAGAGATCTTTACTGTTAAGCATATAAAACATTTAATGACTATTCAGGCATTTTGTTGCTCCAATAAAAACATATTGACTTGAATTTCTGCTTTTTAATCTGAAATTGTCCAAACTTTAACTACAGTTATTTATAATCTATTGTGGAAGTATTATTCCACCTTCAGGTCTTCAATTAACACTGGTATTTCTCTTGTGAATTTTATATGGTAATATTATTTCTATGGCAAACAAGTTATGGGATTGTCATTAAACCTTTCTGTTAGGCTTAATAGAATATTTGATGAAAGTTGCAATAATACTGTTGTTGTTCAATCATTGTGTCTGGTATTTTTGGGATTAACATCATTTTTCTGATTTATGATTTGAAACAAGACTTGTCTTTTTCTGCATTGAAATTCACCATACAAAGATACTCAAATTTCCATTTTTGGTATTTGCTGTCTCTTTGCCAAGCAAGGAGTGAGTACATAGGAGTAAGAGCAAAGACTGGTCAGCTGGGAGTCCAAATAATGTGTATACCTAGGATGAAATGTCTACATGCAGACTGTTACCTTGTAAGCTAGCAAACTATAACTCAACCTGTCAGTGGAGTATTCATACCTTATCATGTTATCATCCTGAATTTGCATGTAATATTTGCAGCTGGACCCTAAGCAGCCATTATCATATGATCAATCACCCCGATATGGAATAAAAAATAGATTGGAATAAATCTACTAGTATGACTGACCACTTGGAACAATTGCAAAAATTTAACCATTCATAAAAGAAAGACAGAAACATTGCATGTCAACTATCAATGGTTACTTTTCAAACCAATAAAAAAGAACAGATTAGTTTAAGAGAGAGATATTGCATCACCTGAAATGATTTTTGGCCAAATTATCAAAGTGAAAACAGATACAAAACTTACAATCTATTATCATACAAATAGTCATTAATGGTAAACCATAAATCAAAGATATACACATTGTTGTATTAAAGCCATTATTTGTATCAGCAATGTTTGTTTGCAGATACCGTGAATGTATATGCCAACTGGTTGCATTACTGCATTTCATCATTGCATTTTCTTATTAAGTACTCATTTACATTTACTGCTAAATACACTGATATACCTGTTCATTAAATCATGGCATATTTTTTTTTTGTGAATTAATTTTAATTTTAAATATTATTTTACAATATTATTATAGATCTTTTAAAGCCTCAGTCCACACCAATAAAAAAGAATAGATTAGTTGAAGAGAGAGATAGTGCATCACCTGATGTAGGACATACCAATCCAGGGTTCAATGACAGTGACATTCCTGTAGATATAAGTTTAGCAGAAGAAGGTAAGTACAAATACATGCTGTTAAGGAATCTCCCTTTTAGTACAAAGGGTACTCTCTTATATTATGTATATGGTCATATATTGGAAGTCAAGTGGAAGAAAATACTTGAAAATGTAAGAAAAATATAGAATTAAGATGTAAATTGATCTGTTATATCTATTTACATGTTTTTTCAAGTCTAGAAAAAGGATTTGGTAGTAATTCAGTAAAGCTTTTTTGTCAGGAGACTTAACTTGTCATGAAATAAAAAATGCTCATTAAAAATTCATATCAGTCAATTTTTTAAATGAAGAAATCAGGTTAAGAGAAAATTTTTGGTAGCATAGGGTTGTCACAACCAGGGCATTTAAAAATGATTAAATAGAGTTTTAATTATGTAAAAACAATATGTTAGAACAGCCCTGTCAAATCTGTTGATGCAGACATTTTTTTTATCACGCACCATTAGCACTCAATATTTTATACCCTTCATATTTGAAAAAATAACTGAAAGAACCAAGGATCATAATTAGAGTCTATAAAAATGTGCAAATTATGCCAATTATTGTGATTTATGTAAGGTATATTTATGGTATTCAAAAAACAAGCAATCAATACCATAGGAAAGTATGTTAATCTAACTAACTTGTGAAATATTCAGTAAAATATAGCCCCTAGCTGTACATTATTTCACTTTTATACCTTAAGATGCATAAAAATAACATATCTGTTCATGTAATAAACAGCTGAATTATCTTAAGGTATTTTATCAAGGAAAGCTTTCTTTTCAGTACTAAAAATTTTCCAATTATTCAGTCTTCAAAATTTTATTTAAAATTCACATTGTTTGTAGTATGTAATACAAATAAATTTATTATTCCTCAAGCAACAAAGTTTTAAAGGTAACTTTTTGTCCGGTTTGTCATTCTGTCATCATTTTGTGTTGTAAAGCTCAATATGCCTTACTGTAACTTTTGTTGTTGGATCTCTTCAATTTTGAATGAAGGTTTACACTCATCAAAACCACCAATGAGAATGATAATCCTAAATGGGGCAAACATTTTGGGGAGGGGCCTTGTAAAAATATCCCATTTAAAATTTTTATTTAATGAATAATGCAAAAAATGTGAGTAAATATATATTGTATAGCAAGTTATTTTCGCGGGGTGTAAACTTTTGCCTATTTTCGCGGATAGAACAAAATCGCCAAAATAAATTCCGCCAATTTAAAAGTGCACATGCAATGGTATTGTATATAAGTTTTGAATCCGCCAAAATGATAACAGCCAAAATATTTTGCATACCTTTATCAATGAAAATTGCGAAATTTTACACTCGCGAAAATAGCCCGCTATACGGTATTAAGGTAAGTTCTACTTTTGTGCCAGAATGTTGAAATCAGTTGAATAAATGAATGTGGTACAAAAAGGCACTTCATAGCAGTTTGATATGTATGAAATCATTTTTATGTTATTTTCCCTAATTTTCTAATTTTGGAAACAGTTTAAAGGATTGGGTTATAATGTTACAAAGTGAGGAAATAAAGTCCAAAATCAACATGTTATATGTATTCTATTTAGGTGACTCTTAGCTTGAAAAAGGTATAAGCACATATAGAATTTCCATTAAAAGATATTGTTGAGATGTCAAACTTAAACTACCATTTTTTGAAAGGAGTTGAACTGAAATGAACCTTATCATTGAAAATATGTATTTTTTAACATGATTGATTTCTGACAACATGCTAATATATGTTATCATATAAGGGTTAGGTGTATCTAAATATTTAGATATATCTATGAAAATAGAACTAAATCTCTGATATAAAGAAAATTATTAGCAGTGTGAATTTAGCATTATTGTATACCTTTTGTATATCTTTTAAGTAAATGTTATTTTTATATTTTGAGTGCTTACGTCATTGAAGATAATAGGAACTTCTCAAATAGATAATTTACATAAGAAGTTAATAGTCTATATAAATATAATGTTACAAGAGCATAATAAATCCCCTTTCAGCTAAAATATAATTGTCTGATTTCACAAGTTTTTTAAAAGGTCCTTTGGCAATAGTGCAGTTTCACAAATCTCTGTACAACATTCTCTAAATTAAAGAATTTTATATGCTTTTGTAGTATAAAAATAAAACTATCAGGGAGTAACTTTTTACAGTTGGTGGAGGACTTAAATCTTGGAAAAAGTAATAGATGCATTTAAACAGTTTAATTAAAATTCTAAATATTTTGAATAACGTGATACATATGCATACTCTTATGCCGTACCATGGAAGTAGAAAGAAAAGATAATACTAATTAATTAAGAATTTATATTTCACAATTATTATCCGATGTTAGGCCCCAGTGGAGGACATTTTAATGAAAAACATTTGATCTTGTAGTGCCAAAATATAACCAATTTTAGCAACAGAAAATTAATCTGTATTTTACTTTTTACAACATATAATAGAAGAATGATAAATTACAATGTCAAAAAAGCACAACAATAAAATGTCATATTTATTCAAATACAGCACTAAAAGTCTAAATACTTTGCACAATAAAGTATTTTTCATGGAATAAGTACTGTTACAGTGACTTTATTTCATTTTTAAAAGATTTTGCTAAATGGGCTGTAGAATATACAGGGGAATGGATTATACCAACTCTGAAATGGGCTATATGGTCATGCTAAATTGATGTCCTGCACCCTTTAAATCCAGCAATTTCAGGTCACTTTTATATTGTAAATTCGCCTAAGTTATGTGTTTCTCAGAATATGCGAATAAAGAAATTTAACCACTGTCATATTCTGTTGTAGCACAAAATATTTCTTATGCATTGGAGTCACTATAACATACATTTGAAACTTGAGTGACAATAATTTCTTGATATATATATACACATGCTTTCAGTCAACAATTAGAACAGGATTATGAATTACACTTTGTTATAGTACCTTAATATATGCAGATGCAGGTTTTAGAAATTCATATAAGTCTTTTAAAAATTCTTAGATCTTTTTTTCATAAAATAAATTCAAACTTTATTGGTTTACACTAGAAACCCACATACAAAATTTATACCTATTCTAAAGATGTTCAGGGGCACAAGATAAAATTGGAGAAAGTGACATGTCTTGTTTACATAAGTAAATGGACTATTTTTGTAGGTCCTACTGACAATTGACAAACAAGAGATAGTTCATAAAGTTAGAAAAACATTTCACCTGTTGGAATTTAAAACGTTTTCATTATTTTAACCGAGTTTGAGATTGTTAACATGTTTCTCTTGTCATTTTAAATTGTAAGATTGAAGTTGTAACACAGAAACACATGAATTTAAATATTGGTATCAAATAGGATGGGCTTATCATAATGGGAACATAGGTATTTTTAAGGAAATTTCTCTAAAAAAAAATCTTTGTTGGAAAATGTGTATGCATTAAATGTATTTGAAACCATTTGATATTTACTAAGAAGTTTTTTTGACTTGTTATGCTGTAGATTTATAGTTCACTAGTCTCTTTTATAAATTCTAGTGCTTGCTCTTCATCAATGAAAAATTCAAAATGATTGAAACTAAGTCTTGTTAACCTCACATGATCGATGTACATGTATATGTTTTGACCCATTACAAAATTGAAACTGAAAAAAATTAAAGATTCTTAAGAACACATACACTATAGTTTCATTTTTATTTCAGTAATTTTCATGAAATTGATGGGTAAAGGTGATCTACAAATTGGTGTTCAATGAAATACAAATTTCCAGTAACTTGTATGCAGAATTAAAAAAAAAACACAAATGCAAGTTTCCCCCCAAAAATACAATTTTTCTCAATCCTGGAGGATTGAAACTCAAGAAAATACAAAAATCTGTAGTTGAGTTCAAGAATGATGTGCACATTTTATTTTACTATGAAGGAATAGACATTTAGAAACTAAAATAAAACCAAAGCAGACTGTTATTTAAAGAATTATGTTTTCTCTGACAGTACATGTAGTATGCATTGTTATAAGGGTTTTCCTGAGTGGTGACTAGATACTAAAAGTTTATGAAACATTTGTAAGACAAGTAAAACACCTGTCTTGACCACTCCTACATAAGGACAAAAATTTACATGATCATATAAATGTCAGTCAACATGGTGCTAAATAACTGACCATATCTAGATGGGTTAATACCATTTATCATAAATAATGTCCCTTTCGACTTTAATATTTGTCTCAAGAACCTGTCACCAACAGATTTTAATGAATTGGTCAATAAAGTTAATGACAAAAAGACTCTTTTCATCACATTCACAATGGTTATATCTTTTTTCAATGACCATATGTTTTGGACTCTTTTTGTTGTCTGTTTCTAGCGTGTTTGACCTAATTTTAAAACGATAATTGAAGTATAGATTTAACACAATTTTAAAAGAGCTTGCTGATTTCAAAGATAACAGCAAAATATATTTTGCAATCAAATCTGAGATATTCAAGGAAATATTATTGAAGATTTTCCCAATTTAGTGCAATATAGAAATTTTGTCACATATGTTGTGGTTTCAAGTGACACTGGACAATAACAAACATTCTTTTAAAAGCCTTTTAATCAGATGCAAATTATTGTACAAAACCATAGAACTAGCTATAAAAAGCACTCATTTTGAAAATTTTAAGTTGATGGTGCATTGAGGTGTGACATTGTTTAAATTCCTCTTCCTTTTTTGACACTATTTTAATTTGAGAACTAAATGAAAAAATACCTAAGGATACTTAAAGAATCCTCTGTAACAGAAAATGATAGTATCATTTGAATTATATTATGATAGTTTGGTTCCTTATGTTTTAAAGTTTAAGACATTAAGCTTATTTTATTTAAAAAATGATTTTATTGGCATATAACATTAAAATTGTAGATGGGAACATCCTCTTTTCACCTCTCAGTTTAACAAAAGGTCTCAATGACACCCTCTGAAGCATGACTTTTTTCATTGAGTCAGTTTAATAAGATTTTAAATAGACTGTAGGTATTC